CCCCTTCTTAAACATGTTATCCCAGAGGCTTAAACATGTTATCCACTGTCGCTGATGGGCCCGGCCTTGGCCAGCGGCAGGTCTGTCTTGGAGCCGGTTGGCATTGGCTTTGTCAGACTTAGGGGAAGCTTCTCACAGGATCCACCCCTGTAGCCCACCTGCCACACAAACCAAATACAAGAATGTTGCAGAAAGAAGCACCTGACCTGAATTTTGCCTGGTCAGAAGAGAATTAAACACAGAGTCTTTCTTCTGTTTAATTTCTTTGCTAAGTATTAGCAAACACCACAGTGTTGAAATTGAAATGAAATGAAAAAGAGGGAGGAATGGTCTGGGAGCATTGGAAACAGTACAAATTCATCAACATGAAATGGAGAGGGAGAGAGGGGGAGAGGGAGGGAGGGGAGAGGGAGAGAAAAAGAGTTTTTCAGCAGCTGCATGGATTCCTGCTTCACGAAGCCTTTATTTCAGGCAGGTTCATTTAGTTTGAGCACTTGTTTTCCTCAGAGCAGTGTGGGGGTTTTTTTATTATCAGAAATACTGTAGCTGCATAACTGTGTCTAGTGTGTATATATTAACAATGTAAAAAATTCACTGCATCACTGCAAAATTGGCAATGGTTATGGCAATATGTTTGCCTGCTTTCTGGAATGTCTAATTGTCACTTTGTTTTGTTTTCTATTAAATCAGTCTCTTGCCAAAGAAATCAAAGAGGTAACAGAAGACATGGATAAGAACAAGAATTTATTTGCTCAGATATTTCCTGAGAATGGTGATAATAGGGATATTATAGAAGACACTTTGGATTGTCTCCTGAAAAGACTGACCTTGCTGGAGTCAGTAGTAAACCAGAGATGCCATCAAATGAAAGGAAGGCTCCAGCAAATAGTGACTTTCAAGGTATGATGCCCATCTGAAGGAATTAACAGGGGTACATGTCAAATGGGGATATAAAGGATGTGATTCTCAAAGCAATGAGAATTTTTGGTACCAAATCAAGAGGTTTTTACTGAAGATCAAACTACTTCTTAGGCTATGCAAAACTTGATACCCAAATCATGATCCAAAATTTAAATACTGTGCTAGAAGCCTTCTGCAACTCATGCAATTATTGTAGAAGCGATCATTCATCCCACACTTTCTCACTCTGCTGGCATTGCAATAAGTGGAAGTTGTTGACTACTGTTCTCAAAGGAGAAAAAGCAACTTTAAAGTTCCACTCTACACATTTTATAATTTCATAAATGATAGAGTACACTGTTTTTATTAGCTGTGATAAAATAGAAAACATAATACTGATTCCCACCTTTCTGATCACATTTAAGCCATCCCATTATTCCATAAGAGCTTGTATCTCAAGCTGTCTGTATTGAGCAAAATAGAAAAAATTAAGAGAAGTGGAGAAATGTTCGATTTTAGAAATCTTTTCAAACAGAGTTCAGAAATGCTTTCAGACCTTACTTGGTCTCTACCTTCTTTCCTATTCTTATCATATAAAGCCTCCAGTATAGTTTAGTTTTAATGGAAAAAAACATAAAATCCAGCAAAAAATTGGAAAATAGATTGCTGGTGTCTTCAGATTGTGATCATCATTTCGTAGGTTGTTACTACAGGATTTCTTTCCAAACTCCATAACCTTTCCTGTTCAGTAGATAGGAAAAAAAATACTTTCAACAATTTTCAATAAAAGGCCTTCCTTTGCTGAAAAAAAGAGACAAGCTGATTAGAATCCTTTGCCTTATCGTTATACCAGAGATATTTAATATTCAAAAGAATTACTGCACGAAGAAAAAAAAAAAATCAGAAACACACTCCTGTATAATGCTAAAAGTGAGAAATGTGCTGATTATTTTCTATTTTACCAATATTAGAAGTTTTGTTCGGATGAATTAATGAAAAAAAAATTGATTGTAGCTTGGCAAAATTGTTAAGTAATATGTATGTGTCTAGTCTGATAAGGTGCTCTAAAAGTTGTAATGTGTAGTTAGCCCTGTGATGCGTTGAAGCCTTGTTTTTTGTTATATTTGCTCAAGTTTGTAATTAAAAAAGCTTGCCTTAAAAAGTAAAACCTAGCTTGTTTACGAGCATATGTGATCAAATAAACTACACAAGAATAACATATTTTTGCTAAATGAAGCTAACTGACCCTTGCATTGATCATCTAATTGGAAGGCAAAAGCAGAAGTGTGTTCACAGATTATGTTTTGAATAGGAGTTGGTTTAGCTTTTTGCTCATATGTATCCAGTTACGGATTTTCAGCAATGTTGCATGTTTTGCATTGGATAATTATGGTGCTTCCAATGTTGTATAGTTTTTATGCCTTAATGCTGACATTGTAACGTTGTAATGCTTTAAACTTTTTGGAACGTAAAATATTTTTCAGCTGGTTTGTGCTGTGATTGGCTATAATTTGTTGTGTTGTTGTCTCTTGTAGAATGATCTGAAGCTCCTGTTTACGTCGGTGGCTGATAACAAATATTTAGTTCTACAGAAACTAGCAGAGGCAGTTGAGAGACCAGAAACAGAACAAATGCAGGTATTGCCAAATGTCTTAGGAGAGCGGGGAGGGAAGAGATAAAGTTTCTATTCAAGGTATAACTGGATTCTAGAGAACAGTTGCTTTTTGTGGGAGAATGTATGGTTCACATAAAGTATGTGAAAATGAGTACTTCCAAGAGCGTACTACACATGTCTATAAATTAAAAAAAAACAAACACAAAGTTTCTTTCTTATCTCCCCAGGTGACTTACTTATGCACATACTGGGCACTATTTGAAAGAAAGAAAAAAAGTCTAAAGTTTGGCTAAATTGTTTGGCTATTACACGTTATTAAAAACAAAAGGCACTTTCTTCTGCACTGGTTTATAGTAATATCTTGACTGTTATTCGTTTTAATTTAAGGCAATAATTGTTTTTTCTTTGTCAGGAATTGCCTAATGAATAATTAATTAATAATAAGACAAAATACATCCTGCGTCCTTGTTTCTGTTTTGCCAACGAGAAAAGTCAATATAGTATGTTAAGGGCTACTTTCTACAGCAGAAGTTTCTTGTTACCTAAGAGCTACTGTTGTCTGGTTCCAGCAGGTGACTGAGGGGAAGAGACTTATCCTTCAGCTAAACAGAAATACTGGCCTTACATATCTGATAATCAAATTTTGAAGGAATTTTAATTCATGTATGAGTAAGAGGGCTGGCAGTCTGTGTCTTTCTTTCCTATCTTTTACGATGTGAAAGATTGGTAAAAATTTAGCTCCTATATGATTAGTTTAACTACCAAATAGGGGAACGACATGGTAACAGAGACAACTGAATTGAATTTTTTTTGAACACCTACCTTGGCAGATAAAACACTCAAATTTAAAAGCATTGCTGTTTGTTCAAAATGTGATTGGGAAAATAGAAATAAGGCCCTTAATCAGCCAGGTAACTTAGCTGCATAAAGTGTAAGTTTAGTGACTGTACTATGCATACTTCGCATTACTAGGAGTCAGGAGTTCTACTCACATACACAGTTGAAGCATTTGGATATGCAGCTTCCAAGAAGGGCCTTAACAAAGGACTTTAACTGCAGGAGTCTACCTTATGCTTTTAACTTTGTTATAGCTTGCATGCATTAATTCAGTGGAGACTCCTAGGTTGAAAGACCTTGTTTCTTGTAGCTTCCATTGAAAAAAGTCAAATTATCACCTGCATACACTTGCAAATCCCAGCCTGTGTGCTTTCAGTTGTCATTTTCCAAGTATAAAAGGGGAAGTAAAAGTCCTTTTCCTTGACAGTAATTTTGGCCCTATCCTAGTCCTGTAAGGGAACTGTGCACAGCTCTTTGCTGTCATGCATGTCTTTTGCTGTGCTGGTTGTTTGCTTGGTGCTCAGATATGACAGGAATGAGTGTTAATAAAAAGAATGCTTTAAAAGAAGGTATTAGGACAACTAATAGTCCTTTTATGCCTGTACCATATAACTAAAAGTGTGGAACTTCACAGCAAGGTTTGGTATAAAATACTGTATGATACTAAAACAGTTTGTTATTAAAAAAATAATAATGCCATATTGTTTTTAACTTTAAGAAACAAGCTGGGCTCTCCCAACTTTGAATTAATACTTTTTCTTTATAGCATTGTCCTGGTTTCGGCTGGGATAGAGTTAAATTTCTTCCTAGTGCTATGTTTTGGATTTAGTATGAGAAGAATGTTGATAACACACTGATGTTTTCAGTTGTTGCTAAGTACCCTGTCAAGGACAGCTTCCATGCTACCAGACAGAGGCTGGGAGGGAGCATAGCCAGGACAGCTAGCCCAGCTGGCCAATGCGGTATTCCATACCATGTGACATCATGCTCAATATATGAATGGTAGGCATGATCCAGGAAGTACCGATCACTACTTGATTATCGGTCAGCGCGGGTGGTGAGCAATTGCATTGTGCATCACTCGTTTTGTATATTCTATCATTATTATTATTATTTTCCCTTTTCTGTTCTATTAAACTGTCTTTATCTCAACCCACAGGTTTTTTCCCCACTCTTAGCCTTCCAATTCTCTCCCTGTCCCACTGGGGGCTGGGGAGTGAGTGAGCGGCTGCATGGTATTTGGCTGCCTGCCAGGTTAAAGCACAACAAGTATCCTTTAAAATTTCAGCAGACTGAAGGACTGATTAATACTTCAGGCAGAAAACAGAAAAGAATATTACCATATGGCAACTACAGCACTGTTATTAAACCTTCAAACTAAATGATGTAATTTTCAAATACAGGTCATACTGCAGGCAGAAGAAGGTTTGAAGGAACTAGACACTGGAATAAATGAATTAAAGAAGCAGGTAGACAAGCTACAAATTGACCAACCTTCTGTGCAAGAGCTGTCTAAGATCCAGGTATGGTTCTTAAGTTCCATCCTAGACCTGTCTGGTGATATCAAAGGTATTAGTATGCTCCTTTTTATTGTTCATAGGGCAGTTTAGTAAAGCATATTTAAAAGCATTTCAGTGTGTATAAAAGATTTTTTTTCTCCCTGATCCACCTAGTTTTTCTACTTTTGCATTTTCAAATTTTCTAACCTCTCTATTATTAGTAGTATTAGTCATAAAAACACAAAAAAACATGTTTACTTTCAGCTCTTGTTGAGTACCTGTTCAAAGAGATAAAGTTAAGCATGTAAACATAAATGTCTGCTGAAGGTTGAGCCCTGTTCTCACCAGTGTCTCATGATCTGGCGTTTAGTTGTCTCTCACATCCGTCATTAAAAAAAACGGAGGGGGGTGAAGAGGGATAGATAGCTAAGTGTGACCTGAAGCTGGAAATGTTCTGCTTTTACTAGAACACCTCTCATGTTCCTGCATACTTTCAGTCAGACTTGGTTTTGAACACACGTAAGTAGTAGGACTCTTATCTTAAGACTCTCTGCCCAATTACATGTGGGCAATTGATCCAGAACTTTTATAAGGCCGTTGAAACTCCTTTGTGAGCAGATCAAGGAGAAGGTTTGTAACTGAATCTTACCCTTTCTAAGGACATAATAATAAATTGGAAGCAAAGAAAACAGCTGAAACTGGACCATAAACTTATTAAGCCAACAAAACAGTAATATCAATTAAAAATGAATGACAAAGAGTTTGTGCAAATGTGTCTTTTGCCCAGTTCTTTATCCTTTTGGTCTTAGAGTCTCCTGCTTTTTTTTTTGCTGTCAGATTATGTGTAGATATTCCCCTCCCCTTGATTTCAGTTTTTAGAAAAGCCTTCCCTTTGCTTTTTTGACAGTTGTGCTTCTCACAATTGTCTCTTTAAATCTAGGAGAGCCAGCTACAGTCTGAGGGTGGGTACTTTGCTATAGCACTGGATGGTCATAGAGATATTTTGGTTTATTAGTTTCTGGATGTCTTGTCTTGATCAAAAGTATATGCTTACCCTCTCAGTCAGACATATGTTCTGAGAATACAATTCTCGAAACCAAAACAAGAAAGTAATCCTGTTCAGGTGAAGAAAAACATCTGCAGGTTGTTCTCACTTTTATGGTTGAGGTATACAGGATGAGTAATAGCACACGGGAACTGATGAGATTCTTCCTTTTGGCTCGTTCTGTAATTTGGCAGTATGAGCACACTGTGAAATACACATTGCACTTTTTCTACACTTTACTGTTCTATATAGAGTATATTGCTATTTTGGGCCTTGTTTGGTTTTTACTATGGGTTGTATGTAACTTGCTTGCTACCAGTAAGCTGCTGGTGCAGGAGAGGGAGGCAAATCTGGCTTTGAGATGCCTATAGTGTGTAGCCATGATGGAGTCCATCCAACCCCCTGCATTATAAGCAGCAAAATGTAAACATCATCTGCAGTGTGCAGTAGCCACACAGTAGTCTGGATTTTGATGACTTAAGCCCAATTGCCCTACTCCTTTGCTACTTAGAGCAAGCCTTTGGGATTCTGCTAACTTTGTTCCCGAATGCATGCACTTGAAAGAGTTGCAGGTCTTGCTTATTTTTTCTCTCTTTAAATGGTGAGTTGTTAATTTATCAATTAAGTCAGTATATCTGCACAGTCTTTTTGAGCTGGGAATAGATGTTATTCTGCTAGTATTCACAGAGGAATACAGGGACAGTATGGTTGCTTATAGGAAGACATGTAAGGTATGAAAAAAGAATCACCATTGCTACTCTTTGCCCCCAAGGATATGTACGATGAGCTGATGATGATCATTGGATCCAGACGGTGTGACCTGAATCAAAATCTGGCTCTTAAGAGGCAGTATGAACGGGCTTTGCAGGACCTGGCTGACCTGTTAGAAACAGGCCAAGAAAAGATGGCTGGTGACCAGAAAATGATTGTTGCTTCTAAGGAAGAAGTTCGATCACTACTTGACAAACATAAGGTAAGAAACTGTGACATATTTCAAGACTAATCACAACTGTACACAGCAAATTGCTAACCTTCCTAAAGGTTCAGGAGCTTTTCAGAATGGTGGGCCAGTATTAAATCAAGATACATTAAAACTTACTGTATTTTAAATTGGAATCAATGAACTGTTCTGACTAAAAACTTTCAAATGCTGTGTTGAAGGTGGAGCCAGGTAGATCACATTTTCTTCCTCATTCTAATACCAAGTTCCTATTCTTGTCCTGTCATGCTACACAGCAATGTCATCCACCACTCCATTTTTTTCAAATGGAAATTTACATTTGCTAATAGCACCCACAAAATATAACAAGACTTTTCTACATTTTTTTATTAGGCAGAATTTTTTGGTGGTGTATATCTGATTCAAGCTATTTTTCTTAATGGAATGAGAGTTGGGATAGAATTTGCTTAAAAAGGAGATCTTTTCTTTCTTTAAAAAGGCCATTGTCTTTTTTTATATTTTGCATTGAATTTTGTGAAATGTTGGTGGAGTGAAAAGTTTACCTAATTCTATGTCTACAGCTATTTGATTGTACTGCTATTGTCTTAAAATGTTGTTTTAGTGGTAATTAATTGAGTAACAATTGCACTTCCTGTTTTCTATTCTCTTTACCCTCTCCCTCACACCCAAATTTCTCAGGAATATTTTCAGGGGTTGGAGTCTCACATGATCCTGACAGAAACGCTCTTTAGAAAGATGAGTAGCTTTGCCCTCTTGAAGGAAACTCAGTCACATTCAGAGCTAATGACACAAGCTTCGGTTGTATTAAAACTGGCTCATAAACGAGGTGTGGAGCTGGAATACATTCTAGAGGTGAGAATTTCTGTGGTCTCTTCTGTACTGCCATTGTGATCAACCGCCAGGATATTCTGTAGTGTTGATTTCCTGTGCTTGGACAGAATTGATGGACGTCAGCCCCTTTTTCATACACACAAGGCACTGATAAACTATGTGTCATCTTTGCTATTTAACTGTTATGACCTTCAGGTGACACAAGTTTTGTTCCTCTAAATTTAAAAGAGCTGCTTAGCTGTAGCTGACAAGGAGAACATGACAGCTTTATCCATGTGTTCTAACTAAAAGCTGACTTTACACAGAGATGGTTGTCTTATTATAGGTTCACCCGACATTTGTACTGTTATTTCTGTATATTCACAACCACGCAGCTATAGGATTTCAGATTGAGAAAGCAAGTAATAAAAATTCTAGATACCCAGATCAATATTCACCACATACATGGATAATTTGTGCTTGCAGACCTGGATGCGTCTGGATGAGGATTACCAGGAACTTACCAGACAACTGGAATCTGTTGAAGGTAGCATCCCCGCTGTTGGTTTGGTGGAAGAGACGGAGGACAGGCTTACAGACCGGATTACACTTTTTCAGGTTGGTGCTTTTTAGACATACTTTATGGAAAAGCTGGATGAAAGGGACCTCTGAAGGTCATCTAGTCCAGCCTCCCACTTGAAGCAGGACAGTTGCCATGGGCTGGATCAGCCATGGTGGTGGAAACCTCAAAAGATGCAGATCCCACAGCCGAACTGGGGACCAACTGCAGTGCTGCACCACCTCCTACTGAAAAGATTTTCTATAATGCCCAATTTAAACCTTCAACTTTCAGCTTGTCACCATTGTCCTTTCTATATTTTGTGGCACTACTGAGGAGCATATATCTCTATAATCTTTTTAATTCAACTCCAAATAGTTGTAGGCCTTTATTAGACTGGCCCTTAGCCTCCTGTGTGTCAATCTACAACAAGCACCTCCCTCAGCCTCTTTTAAAAGGACACGTGCTCTAAGTCCCTAAACATCTTAATAGCTCTACACCAGACCCTGACTACTTCCTTCTTCTTGAACTCAGTGGAAGGTGGGGGCAGGGCAGAATCAGGTGCATTAGATGTGGCCTCATCAGCACCATGTAGATGGGGATAATAAAATAACTTAAGTCAGTTGTTCACAGTCCTGATGTGGCTTGCCTTATTCACAATGTCTTGGTTATGGAAGATGCCAAGTTAAATACACTAGCCATTCCCTTCCTAGCCTGTACTGAGAAACGGGGTTATTCTGCCCAAGGCACAAAATTTGCTTCTCTTGTTGAGCCTCCTAAGGTTTCTGCTGCCTCCAACCTCAAGTTTATCAAAGTGTCTCTGGACTAAGACTGCCATTTTTTGTGTCAACCACTCTCCCTACGTTAGTGTCATCCACAAATTTACTGAGGGAGCGCTCTCTATCATCATCCATGCCATTAATGAAGATGTTGAAGATGTTTGGGCTCAAATATCAACAATCCCTGGAGTACTCTGCCCATTACAGTCTGCCAGCCAGACATCAAGTCTCTGATCACTAGTGTTTGAGACTGGTAATGCTAGTTTTCAACCCCTGTAACAGTCCATTTATGCAGCCCACAGAAGGACATGAACCTGTTGGAGCAAGTCCAGAGGAGGGCCACAAAGACGATCAGAGGGCTGGAGCACCTCTCCTATGAAGACAGGCTGAGAGAGTTGGGATTGTTCAGCCTGGAGAAGAGAAGGCTCCGGGGAGACCTTATAGCAGCCTTCCAGTACCTGAAGGGGACCTACAAGAAAGCAGGAGAGAGACTTTTTACAAGGGCATATAGTGATAGGACAAGGGGTAATGGCTTTAAACTGAAAGAGGGTAGATTTAGACTAGATATAAGGAAGAAATTCTTCGCTATGAGGGTGGTGAGGCACTAGAACAGGTTGCCCAGAGAAGTTGTGGATCCCCATCCCTGGCAGTGTTTAAGGCCAGGTTGGATGGGTCTTTGAGCAAGCTGGTCTAGTGGAAGGTGTCCCTGCCCATGGCAGGGGGGTTTGGAACTAGATGGTATTTAAGGTCCCTTCCAACCCAAATCATTCTGTGATTCTATGATTCTCTCAGCTTCCAGAGGAGGGTCCTGTGGCAGACGGTGTCAAAGTCCGTACTGAAGTCAGTCTCATCCACAGAGACAGTAATTTTGTCATAAAAGGCTGTCAAGTTAGTGAATCCAAGCTGAATATTCCTGATTATCTTTTGGTCCTTTTTGTCCCATTTGAAAATGGATTCCAAGGGGATGTGCTCCATGATCTTTCCATAGAGCAAGGTGAGGCAGAACAACCTGTGGTTCCCCCAGTTGCCTTCCTCCTTCTCAAATGCAACAAGAACTTGTAGTTTAAATATAGGTTTTCTACCACATCCTGTTTTTTCTGACTGTTCTCAAAATGAGAATTCTGGTCTAGTGTTTTGTCTTTGTCTCGTTATACACCAGACATTTCAGTTAGTGGTTTTTTTTGTTTTCTTGTTTTGTTTTACAGGAAAATGTCTGCCAAATTTTTCTTGCAAGTTGACTTCTTGTCTACTCTGAATTTGTTATGTATATTGTTCTTTTACTAAACCACTTTCTGCCTTTGCAATGGTATGAGGAGAACTTAAGCAATCTATTGTGTGGGGGTTTTATTTTAGTTTTGTTTAATGCTAGGCTTTGTTTGTGTTGGTCCTGACACTAAATTAGTTTTCTTCTTTTGTTTCTCTTGTCAGTTACATAAATTAGGTTATTCAAATCCAGATTCTTGGACTCTGCTGGCATAATTTTTAATACCTTTTTTTCTCTCCCTGTGATCACATTTAGGTTAAAAATCCATCATAATTAATTTATGGCTATCTTGGATTTTTTTATGTTACTCTCTCGGATTTATACATTTATTTGTGTATATATGCTATATGTAAGTACACACACACAGACATACATGTATAAATATAAAAATTCTGTCATTAGAGCTCTATTTATCTGAAAGAGAAAATAAGAAGAGGGATAGAAAGTTTATGTACTCACCATGAGACTGGTAGTTTTGTACGCTTTTTCTTCAGATTAGTTTCAGCATAACTGAAAAATGAGAATGCATGTACATTTTGTGCTCAAGCTTAGTCAAATATACAGGTGGTTTAAAAATCTGTACTATTTGTGTAATGATAGCGGAATCTGGCAGGTATATTTTCCCACATAGACAAATTCTTTACCCATCCACAAGTCACCGTTTAAATGAAATCTGTATCTGGTCCCGGTTGGATTCAGGGTAAGACTATTAACAGCTTTTCCTTTTTCAGTCCCTTTTTTGCTTTCTTTTGCCATAACAATTGGCTTCTGTGTACAGGGATTTGGATATGTGGGGGGTGATCTTCTCTTTTGTAGCCATGGATAGCAGGAGGGTAGATCAGTAAAAGAAGAGTTAGATGACCAGAGAGCTGAAGATGTGCATTGAAAGGGCTGGTGTGGCCACTGTTAATAACTCGATATTGGACACCTTTAACTTTCATTGCAGTAGAGTTTTCAGCAGATGGTAGATTAAGTTCTGACATTTTAATCAATTTCTCTCAGAAATGGTGTTGCTCCATGAAGATTCTTTTGAAATTGGTCTGTTCAAGTGTAAAATATCTACACCAAGGAGGAGTTCATCATAAGGCAGTGTCAATAGACATATTGAAGTGAGGGGTTTTGTGACAGCATGTTCAGATTTTTAGCAGGTTACCTGCATGATGGTTCTCAGGGAGTTCTAGAGCTGGAGCAGAGGGAAAAAATGTCATGTGCTGTGGTGACATTGGATATGTAACAAAATGCAATAAAAGACTACTAAACATTGAGAAAGTGTGGTAGCAGAGACCTGCAGAGCTATCTAACAGTCTCCTCTGTCATTACAGCATCTGAGATCTAACCTGACTGAATACCAACCTAAATTATACCAAGTGCTAGATGATGGGAAAAGGCTCCTTTTTTCTGTTAGCTGCTCAGATCTCGAAAGTCAACTGAACCAACTAGGAGAACACTGGTTAAGTAACACCAGCAAGGTTACCAAGGAGCTTCACAGGCTGGAGACAATACTGAAGCACTGGACAAGGTAATGTTGATGTAATGGACAGTATAAACTACTTCACCTGCGCTGTTCAGGTCAAAGTTATTCTGAACCCAGAACTATTAGATTTGACATTTAAAAGAAAGTACTTTGAGATGTATGTGATCATTTGACTACTCTACAATATCCTACTTCTGTTCCATGCAAGTGCTATCGTACTCTCTTATTTACAATAAAACATGTACCAGATAACAGCTGGTGGGAGCAAGTCAGGAGATATCTTATTTAGATGACTAAGTTAGAAGCCCCATATCCATACAGGTTGATGAGAAAGGGTGTGTGCTTTGCTAGGTAGCATGAGTGGTGGCCTCAGCATGTTCTAGCAGGGGCATTGCTACTGCTGGGTTCTTGTGGGTCTGGGGCATTGCATATATGGAAGGGAGCTTTTAGCTGCCTTCAGTAATGTTCATATGCTACTTTTGAAATTAATTCTCTAAGTGATGTACAAGCTTTGTCTATTATTCATAATATCCCTGCCTTGTTGGCTCACTAGCCTTTCAAGAGAGATAAAGGGATTGTATGTATAAATGTTAGGTGGAGACACTCTCATTCTGACAACTCATTAGTTGCTTGGCATATGAAATGATATGGAGATAGTTCCTGAAAAAAAAAAAACCATTAAATTTCTGCTCTGAGATACCTTGTGGTAAAGCTTTTGGAAGATTGAGCCTTCTAAAGGAAAGCAAAAATGTGTTTATGTGTGTGAGGTGGGGTGGCGTGCTGTTGCAGCTTGCCCAAACAGATTGATAACCTAGTTACATTGGATACCTAGTCCTTCATTAAACTTAGTTTTTCCTAAGAGGCAAAAAGAAGGCACTGTTAGGAGTTGTGGGTGTAATGGCTAAAATAAGAGCTTCCTGATACCATGCCTGTCTTTAAAATTAAATCACGTTTTTTTGAAATTTAATGAAGGAAAGAAAATATTTTTATTTTAAATCTGGCATGCAGTATCTTCCTCTAACGCGTGGAGGAGAGACTGCTCAGTTGCAAGCAAGAAGTGGCGATGACTGTTTTCATTTTCTTTAAACATTTTTACAGATATCAGAATGAATCAAGTGAACTGACACGTTGGTTACAATCTGCAAAGGAGCGGCTTGAGTTTTGGAGCCAGCAGTCCTTGACAGTTCCTCAGGAACTGGAAACAGTCCGAGACCACTTGAACTCCTTTTTGGTAAGTCATTCATGGACCTAGGAATACTTTTTTCTCTCCAAATACAAATAAACAATTGAGCAATCATATGGTTATACTTTTTCTCATCATTGAAGTAGTGAGTATGCAAAAAAAAAAATCTGCTTCTGTAGGTGAGCTGTCCCTCAAAAAACTGGTGTGTTTGCACATTCAGCTCTCCTTTGCTATATGCAATGGTTGTAAAGTGTGATGATTCTGAAAACAGAAAATGGTTTTATGACTGAAAACAATTTTTGTTCTCACTTGGTCTTGATATAGCTGGTAAACACTAATAGAAAGTACGTATTTTTAAAGGAAAGGGAGGATATTCTTAGCTTTCTGAGGTAAAGCTTTAAGTACAGTAAACAAGGAGTTGATTATTTCCACAAAATTGATTCTGCTTACAGGAGTTTTCAAAAGAAGTCGATGCTAAATCATCACAGAAATCCTCTGTCCTGAGTACTGGGAACCAGCTCCTCAGGCTGAAGAAGGTGGATACAGCAGCATTGCGTGCGGGATTGTCCCACATTGACAGTCAGTGGACGGAGCTGCTCACACAAATCCCAGCAGTACAAGAGAAATTGCACCAGGTAAGAAAGGCCAGTGATGCCCTTTGATATTCCAGAAAATTCAGACCGTACGGTTGGCACTGCCTTTGAGAGATAGTTGCTCCCTTCCTCAATTTATCCATGTGAGGCAAGATAGGAACAACATTACTCCTGTTTTAATGTGGGAAAGCTTACACTCATGTCCAAATCCTGTCTACCCATACTGTCTAACACCAATTGGTGTTAACGCCAAACTTTCACATTTGTTAAATTTAAACCAAAGAACAGATGAGGGTTTTTTCAACATGTTGATATGCTTTTTGGAAAAAGGGAGTTCACATCCCTGCACCCTGTCATATTTGGGTGGTGGTTTTGTTCAAATTGAATAGACTGGGTTCAAGTATATGCAAGACAAAATAAATCTAAAAACATTGTACAAGGTTCCTGCTAGTGTGTGTAGGAGCCAGAAGGTTTTGGTTGTGTAGTTTTGGGTTTTTTTTAATGCTATAATACTGAAGTTAAAGAATTATACTGGTCTGAAAGTTGGCTTAGTATTTAGTTTCTAGGAGATTATCAGTCTAAGCGGTTGCTTCAGTTTATAATTTGGAATGCTTTCAGAGTTAGTAATATCATCGTGATTTAGGGGGAGAAAGGAAGGGTAACAAATGTTACCCGAGTCTATTATATTAAACAAAATAATGTCATTCAGCAGTTCTCTGAACTGTCTTGTAATGCAAAATACATATGTCTACCTAAAAATGTCATAGAACACGTTTCTGGGTAACTAAATATAAGCAAGCACTACCGTATCAATGTTGAAAGTGAGTCTTTTAAGAAAAAAACAGGTACTATTCAAAATCAGCCTATTTAGAAATCACTACCACAAGAAGAGTTGTATAAAATTATTTTCCATGGGTCTATTCATTAGCCATTTACAAGGACAGGAAAAGTATAAAGTTGATCTTCTACGTAAGCCTAATACAGCATTATGGAATGAGAATGCAGAACCTTTTGGAAGTCAGAAATGGAATCTTTGAGTTTGTCCAGTTTTTTTGTATAATGAAGAATGGAAATAAGAAGCCTTTAATATAATATTTTCTTATTAGGATGCATGCAGTTATACAATATATCTCCTATTAAAACCTTTCTTTTTACTTCCTTTTTTTTTTTTTTTAATAAACTTCAGTGATATGTTAGAGATGTAGAATAACATGATATAAGAGCAGGTAAAGGAAATGTACTGTGGTAACGCAAAGCAAGGAATTCTTATGCATTTTCTTCACAACATGCATTTTAAGTCTGTTATCTCTACAGCTCCAGATGGACAAAATTCCTTCTCGCCATGCTATCACTGAAGTTATGAGCTGGATTTCCCTGATGGAAAATGTTAATCAGCAGGATGAAGAGAATATAAAAAATGTAGTAGGACAGAAAGTCATCCAGGATTACGTCCAGAAGTACAAGGTACTGAGTGGAAATGTTATTGATTTCCCTTTTGAATTATCCCCATTAAATATATATATACATATGTAAAGCATAAGTGATTTAAGGAGGAAAAACCTTTACATTGTGGAGTGGTTGTAATTGTACACAAGTTAGAATTCGGTAATATTTGATACTGTGGAAAAGAAGCCAAAATTACTTTTAATCTACTGTTATATTATGGCAGGAATATAATTTTTAATATGCTTACCTTAATTTCCAGGTAAATCCAAAGCAATATGCACATGATTAAACTTTTAGATGTGTCTTTCACACAAAACCACAAAGCACTTTGCAAATTATGTATGTTGTTTTATGAATTCTCTGCATAATACCACCTTCTCCTCAAAGTGTAGCCTGTTCTTTTATGGAAGGTGGCCAGATCAAGATAATTCTGATCAGTATCTGAAGCAAAAATTAAAGATACTATATCTTGATATAACTACTGAGTTCTTTAACTAGATTAGCAGCGCTCTTGTAATAAATCTGCACACAGTGACTTTCTTCTCAATGTCAAATTTGTTTCACTAGTCTCCTGAAAAATCACTTGACTTCTTGGTTGGCTATTATTCTTCTTTGTATATAAGAATATTTTCCATCTTTTCTTGTTTTGTATTAAAAATTTGGAGACTAAATAAATCTGATCCTTGAGACCAATATCAATAATTTTAC